CCATCGTAGTATGGGACTCATGAGCAGCGTGCGCTTATGACTATGTCAGAGATCGAACCCCGACAGAACTTTGAGGTTCCACAGAGAGCATGTTAAAATTGAATCATTGGGTCGAAATCCAATGCTTCACATTTTCCGTCTTCTGACCAAGTAGCACAACGGTAACCTGCTCGTCATGAAACCTCGAGGTCCTGTCTGCGTTCGATCCCTGGTGGGAACACGGGTGCACACTGTTGACGAGTTCCATAATAGGATGAAATGGTTTTCCAGTGCTCCCAGGTCTTCAGTGGTTCTTCAACTGATGTCAGTTGCTGACTGAACACCAACTTGAAAAATAGATCACTTTTATTCGTTATAAACGAAACTAATTCTTCACTTCTCAGTCACTGGTATTGTAGCACATCGGACTAGGCACTCGACTTTCAACCAGTGGTTGATGGTTTGAAAACCATTTCTCGTTCTTGAGGTTTATGTATATAGATATTATGATAAATAGTCGTACAATATGTGCAACTGTTTTTCTTCTCCATGAAGCTGCACATAATTGTTGAGGAATTCACATGACAGTCAACGATTAACGTATTTGTATGTAATTGCTGACCGAACCACGTTCGTATAATTTGCAATGTGATCACCAAGTTAGGTTTAAGTCAATCGAAAGTAATCTCAAATCCTTAGATTCATGTTTTTTAGCGCTTATATTTAAGTCTACTAAGGTGTTTGAACTGGCGTTGCTTGATGCCGGAGTTAAAGACATCAATATTAATTTATTCCTACCGCTACTGGCTGTATCTCGATGTCACTTCAGCTAGAGATTCTAATTAAATAACTCGATCTATTTGTTCAATTGCACTGAAGTTACTTGTTCAAGAATCAATCGTTGAAAAGATGTGAGAGTAAAACTTGTACTGTGTAGAAGGTCGACTTGTCAGTCAGAATGCAGTTAAACAATATCAATTGATAGTTTTTTTATTTATCAGTTGGATGTATCCAATGCCTGCCTGAAAATTCTCACACTCTTCAGTAGACAAGTCATCCGTTGAACTAGTGTAATGTCGTCTTAAGCTTCGACTTATTCATACACTAATATGACCCTTCTATAGATTCATACATTTCCGTCCAATTTACCATACATTTTTATCACTATAAGCGTCAATCATACTATTCTACCAATTTCCACTATTGTGTTATATGAATGACTTTCATTCGAAACTTTCATGCACTGGACAAATGATGGTTACTATCGATAAAATACACATTTTTATTCGTTTGTCTTAATTTTTTATAGTTGTGCAAGCCAAAAATGTGAACTAGTATAATTTCTTTCGTTGTATATATGCACAAGTCATTTATGTGTATGGCATATCACGAATTTTCTAGCCCATAATAAATTGGTTTCGTCGTGTTTCTATTTAATTTATTGTGGCCTTTGAACTTGTTTATCCGCATGTATTATGAGCATATGACTTGTGGATTTAAACCAACCATTGATGAAAACGTTATTCGATAACTTGTATTGTATGTGCTGCTCAAGCCATGACTGATAGAAATCCTAGTCCATTGGTGGCTACATCATGTAGACATGGTAAAGTATATGCAAGTCATTGTCATATGATAGTGTATTCGCATTTTCATTTTTCAAGTTGGTATTCGTCATCTACTGACATCAGTTGGAAGAACATTGGGAACCTGACAGCACTGGACAGCTGTTTCATCTTAGTATGGGACTCACTCGTCAGCAGTGCGCACCCATAATCCCACCTTCCCACTGATCGAACACAGGACCTTCAGGTCCCATGATCAGCAAGTTGCCACTGAGCCACTGGTTGGGAATCCAATGGTCCATATTTCCTACTCCTGTCATTTCATGACATAGTGCGACCATCAGCCAATATCATCGTTGAGTATTTGTGTTCACGGCCACCAGGTTTGCCCCACTGGTAACGACTTCTCATTATAACTTCAGGAATCATCTCTCAAAGCTAGTCACTAATGATCACTAGATCAAGTGAATTTGGGGGTTTGTGAGGATTTAGTGGTTTTTCAAGTTGGTAGCCGTTGCGACAAATACTCATCGATAACATTGGGCGATGGTCGCGCTACGTCGTGAACTGACAGAAGTTGGAAACATGGACCACTGGATTCCCACCCAGTGGTAACGTGCTTCTCACGGAACTCGAAGGTCCTGAGTTCGATTCGCGGCAAGGTGGGTTCATGTTTGTGCACCGCTGAGGAGTCCGATGCTAGGACGAGACAGCTGTCCAGTGCTCCTAGGTTTCTAATTTTTTACTCAAACTGATGTCAGCCGATGATGAATACCGACTTGAAAAATCACTAACTCCCCACAAACCTCTAAATTCATTTTTATTTTATCAGTAGAAATCACTCGATCGTGTCGAACAAAAAAGCAGAAAGAAATGATTTACTGATATTATAGAAACTTTTAAGTTCAATGCTTCACACAATAGCTTGTTTTTCCAACTTTTAGTATGACCTTCTATGAACGAGGCCAGCTAGCGGAAAATAAATACGTGTTAATCAATAGAAAGGTAGTTGAAACTGAAAACAGCATTTCGTAACACCTTGTTAATTAACCTTAAACGAAATATTACACAAGATATGTGATTCACATTTTGGTTTCTATCTTTTCACCTTCGACTAGGTATAATTCCACTTTAAATAAAGAAAATTCTTATATTATACTGCTTGTTATCATCCGTTGTTGATTAGATCGAATTGATTGGCCTCTATTAGCATATAGGTTTTTGCATGGATACCTCAATATTGCCTGTAATTGTAGTGGATAACTCTCGAACGTTTAAGGTGATCGGTGACGGGTTCGAACCTTAGTGGGAACAATATCACTTACTGGGAGGCGATTACATCCAGCTAGTGAGTCCCAAACAGAACGAAACGCGCGTCTTGGACTCCACTGCTGGTCACTATCCGTTTTTACTACTAAAGAATAGTTTTTCTTCAATAAATTTCTTTTAACAGTACTGATAGTTAGGTTTGCATAAGTATGACATTAATTGGTTAGAGACGATCAGCAGGAAACCTTGCCTTACGTAGGTTTCGCGCTTGTTGGCACTCATCAGCTGGGCGTATCTGCAACTTCGAGGGAACTGATGTCCTCTGCGAAATTCGAACTCGCACCATCCTGTGTTGCTACCAATGAATTATTCAGACACCACGATCCTGAGCCTCTTAGCTTGTTGGCTACATTACACAGTGGTCGGTGAAAGTCGGTCAACATCTAGGATCAGATAACATGAAATTGATTGCGTCCTAGTAACCAACCAGTATAATCTCTTATAATGTCTAACTCTAATAACTGAAGAAAATACATTGAAAACAGTATTCAGGTTGACATTTAAACCATGTGGCATAAGAATTTGGCAGTATTTACAAATCTTCAACTAATCGATTGTACACAGTATGCACCGACTGTCCACCTTATTAAGTCGAATCGATTAGCCTTCATTGTCGTATCTTCAGCTTTTTGTACAGTCGCCTCATTTCCGCCATTAGTTTTATTCTAGTGCCAATTGTTTGAAGTAATGACTAACACTAGGGTCCAGCAGGTGCGTTTCTTTCTGCTGATTATCCTATCAGCTGCATGAGCCTGAATCTGAATATAAAAATCAACAGTTGAATACAAATGCATCCAGTTGACAAACTTATAAATAAGATAAGTGAGACTTCTAGAGTTCTACTGATGACTGACTGACAAAATCAACGTAGAACCTCGCTCATGAGTGCATCGGTTCAAGTTGCCACACTTCACACTAGTGCACCAAGAACAGGTGGCTAGAAAAGGAATGATATCAAAGTAGATAAAAGAGCGTGAGTTAATAAACAATCTGAAGATGAAAGTTAGTGGGAATATTCAAGCTTTAGAAGATATCAAGAAGTGAATACAACTACGCCATTGTCACCTATTTTCAGCTATCTCACCAAGAATCCTAAACCACTGATTCCTGTCGTCTTGGGGACCCCAACCAGGCAGTCTGCATTTTTCCCAGACGGCTCAGACCAACAGTTAGTGACTTCACCATTTGGTGCTATGTCTCGGTCTAGCCACACTGAACCGTCTTCCAACCTCCTCTAGCATAGTACGTCAAGGTAGGTAGTGGCTTGGCATGCACAGTACATGTTCCAGCCATCTCATCCTATGAAGGTTCATTACCTCAATAATCGAATTCTACTGATGGCCACCACCACCCAAGCAACGATTAACACCGAAATTGCATAGGAGTTTGTTTTAATAATTTCTATCCGTTTCTAGGTTACTCAAATAATAACAACGATAGTCGCTTTATTCTAGACAATATGTGTATGGAATTCTTTGCATGAAGTTTCTCAGAAAGTCACTCCCAGGAAAATATTTTCAGGTAAAATAGTTATTGCATTTGAATAATGTTAATTATAACAATATTCAAAGCAATAATTTGGAATAACCAGTTGGTTTTGGATTAGCCTCCGGCCCATAATGAAAAATCAACAGAAACTCGAGCGTAATTTAGATGATGGCGGTTCATTCAGTCAGGATAAGTATCCGAGACATAGAAATATGATATACTTTTGCACATTGAAAAGTCTACTTCCATATAACGTGACATTTTTTCTCCTCTGTTTTGTTAATAATTCGAGAAACGACGAATGGAAAACATTTTAAAAATGTGCAAGAGTATATGATACGTTCGTTTAATTAATTAAAATAAATTGAAAGGAAAAATGTGATATAAATGTTCAGTGGGAAATTTTTGTAGCCCAAGGTTCAAGCAGGCCGCCGTTGTACTTGAGATTAATTTCAAACAATTTTCTATTTATATTTTGTTTTGAAACTATTTAAGCTTAAATCAAACAGATTATACATTTTACCTTTTGACAGTTTTGATTAGATTTATTTATACTCATTAAATGGAATGTATTCACAATTCCTTTACAATATTTCTTTCTTTTTCATAAAATTCCTGGTATGAATAACGTGAATAAAGGATGAGAGTATCCACTTAAAATTTGATAAACTTTTAGACCAATGTCTCAGTATTATATTTTCTAATCCACTGGACTGTCTAATGACTACTACGACTACTATTCCCTCTATGGCTAACAACAGCACCGGTGGTTTGAACTTGACGTTATATCTCTTGAATGACACAAATGAATTCCAATTGTTCAAATTACTCGCATTATATTCTCAATCATCACCGTTATCATCATTACAATGGGCAAATAAATTATGTTCATTACAAAAATGGAGAGATAGTCAAGAACGTATTCTACCTGTTGAAACATTATTTTTTCATCAAAAAAATATGAAAATATCAACAGGAAATGAAAAATTTCAATTTTCATTAACTTGTGTATGCTTAGCACGATCTATTGAAATGTTATTGCATTATCAAACCAGTCAACACCATCATCATCATCATCAAGTATCAGAAGAAATGCCATCTGTACAATTTTGTTTAGATTTACTACGTACATCTAATGAATATCTAGCAATTAGTTTGGAAGAATTCAAGTCTTTTAGCGTAAGTTTAACATTTTCATATTTTGACTAAAATGTACAACTGTAATCGAGTGTTTACACATTGAGTGATTAAAATAGTTTAGACTACTTCTTAAGGAATTCACTGGTGTTCGTTATCCTGCTTAAAAACATAAATACCTAAAGGAAGGAAGAGAATAAATTTGACACGTGTATAACCGTAAAAAGTAAAGGAAGCGAATTAAAGGTATAAATAGTAGCTGGAGAGAATACTGGGATACTCAATGGAATTAAATGCGTTCAAGCCTTCAGTTGTGTAATTTACTCACGGCATATAAAATTTACTTGCTACTTTGGCCAAAATTTGTCAGTTTCTTACAGGTGACCGATAGCTGCTACCTTGACGTGGTGGTCCGGCTTGTATATCACGATGACCCAACGAGCTGTGCTGGTGGAACACCTGTTTCCTCGAGGTCCTACCATACCAGAAAGGTCTGTTGGTTAGTGATTAGACAAAACCATTTGCCCTTGACATGTTCTTAAATAATGAAATGATGCATCATGATGGCTTAGATCAGTCATCAGTGGTGATCCAAAACCATAGGACATGTCCGACCATGCCTTCTTTAATACTGGCCGATTTTCGTGGCATCAAAAAGACCGCACGTGACTGACCTCCAGCAGATATCCCCTAGTCTTTGAGATCACGCACTAACCCTTCTTTTTCAGGTACCTCAAGAAGACCTAACCTTCCACAGTGTGGGCAGCCGAGAAGTACCAACCGTCCTCACAACTCTTTCAGCACTCAAGTTCCCTCAGGTGACTTAACGGTAGCGATCACTAATTTGATAGTCTGTTGTCATGTCTCGATCAGATCACTCAAAGACCCCTTGTTCATCTTACACTGGTTTATATAATATGTGGCTATTGTGTACACTTGAAATGCTGTTTCCTTGTGAATGCGTTCAACTCTCCCACCTCGATATTGTATGCATTCGGTTCTTTTACTGTATTGAAGTTGTTATCAAACGGTTATGTCTTTATTTCTCTTACTTGTAACTACTACACTTCAAATTTGCATTAACAAAACGTATCACAATTTAGTATACTAAGACATTAGAGAGTAAAGTTGTCTCAAAGGAGTATAAGTTGGTGGACACCAACTACTATGGTTCCGTAAGTTTATGTGTAAAATTTTAGCACGGAACATCTTAAATATATCGACGGTTCACTATTTATGAACAGGGTTTCATCTTTGTTACATACAATTATATGTTCATTTTGTTGTTGGCTCAAACAGATTAACTTAATTGTATTGGTCTATTATCAGTGAGCAGGATTAAGGGATCTTTATGGTTTGATCTCCATACACTGATTGCTAATCATCCATGATATTGTGGTAATGCAGTTCAATTGTAGAGGTTACGTGTAGCTGTTAAAAGTAGAAGACATGAAGCGCTTACAGGATTTTGATCATAAGTGTCTAGGTAGTATTGTTTACGTTTGGTGGAATCACTGTGTGAGCAATATTCACACTAATGAAGTTGTGAACCTTCATCATTTGAGGTGCTTGGATATGTGTTGTGCATGCCAAGTCACCACCTGCCTTGACGTGCTAGTGAAAGTTGGATTAGGTTGGAAGAGGGTTCAGGGTGACCGGACCAAGATGTGGCATCAGTCGATGGATTCCCTGACTGTTGTTCAGGGGCGTGTGGGGATGTGTTGTAGACTACCTGACTGGGGTTTCTGAGATGACAGGAATCAGTGGTTGAGGATTCTTGGTGAGACAGTTGAAAATCTGTGACAATGGCGCCGATGTATTCACTCGTTGACGTCTTCCAAAGCCTGAATATTTTCACTAACTTTTATCTTCAAATTACTTATTCTCTTATACAACATTTTATACTTTGATTTCAGTCTTTATCCATCCACTTGTTCTTTGTGTACTACTATGAAGTGTGGCAACTTGAGCCGATGTACTTGTGTCCAAGTTCCTACTTTGATTCTGTCTGTCTAATGGGATATCGGTGTATGCACGAAAACGCACTGAAAATTATATTTTGTATACTAGAAACTTTTACTCCTTCTTGATTTTCATGTTCCCTATTTAACTTCACTTTGTTATCTCATAGCATTCCAGAGTTGAATACAGTAAATTTCATTTTAATCGATGGTATCACATTTATTTACAATACCAGTGCCTGTATCGTGTACTAGTTACTCAGTGAATTGATTGTTGTGAAATGAAGGATAGTTGTCTGGCATTAACATTTGTCATCCCACTATTATTACTGCATGAACGCCATCCAAGTGATCCTTGAGACTAAGTAGGCTGAGACAGTTATGAGATATCAGTAAAAACTGAAGTCAGTAATGATTACGATTCAGTAAAAAAAAACTTAGTACTTTAGATTTTAGCAGAAAGAGAAATACTGTCATGTTGCCAACTAATAATTATTTACTGCATTATCTTATACTACCGGAACAGGGTGACTTCAGGAAGAACAAATTATGTGCGGATCAAACTGCAACACTACGCATCATCACTGAACAGAATGTAGAATGGCAGTCAACTCTCTACCTCAACTTTATCGACTTTGAAAAGGCATTCGATAGCGTCTACCGAGAAGTACTTTGACAGGCAGCTGCCTCAACACTACGGAGTGCCACCAGTCTTTATCAACCTCATTCAACAGCTATATGACGACGACACATGCCAAGTGATCCACAATGGAAAGCTCAGCGACGTCTTTGAAGTGGAGACAGGAAGGAGTAAGAAAAGACTGTCTACTATCACCCATAATCTTCCTGATTGTGGTAGACTGGATCATGCAGCAGACAACTGTGAGGAGCAAGAAGATAGGCATACACTGACTGGATCGATCAAAAGACCCCAGGAGAAGATTTAGATTTCGCTGATGGTGATTTATGTTTAATGTCGCACAAACTCGAAGGTCTACAGGCGAAAACTAACAAGTTGACAGAAGAGATAGGGCAGCGAAGACGGGACTTCAAGTGAATGTAGAGAAGACGGAGGTGAAGAAGATACCGAACCAACAACAACAGCAAGCACCAATCACCATTAACGGGGGAAACTTAAATTAAGTAGTCTCTCTCACCTACCTACCTAGGCAGTATCGTTTCAACTACAGGCGGCACAGGCACAGACGAGGATGTCAAAACCAGGATGGGAAAAACAGTATGACAGGCTTTCAATAATCTGAAGTCAGTGTGGAGATCTACTGCACTCAGCACAAAGAACAAGATCCGGATTTTTAATACCAATGTCAAGTCAGTGCTTCTATGCGGTGGTTCAGAAACTTGGCGTGTCACGAAAAGTATTTCCAACAAACTACAGATATTCATCAACAGCTGCCACTTACGCTCGATACTGAAGATCAGATGGCCAGAATAGTCAGAATAAGCAACAAGGAACTCTGCTTGGGAGCGAACCAACCAAGAACCTATCACCCAATAAATATGCAGAAGAAAGTGGAGATTGATTGGACATACACTGAGAAGGCCGATTGGGGACATCATGCGCCAGGCCAGGTTGTCGAGTGGAATCCAGAGGGGAAACGATTAGTTGGGCGTCGAGGCGAAGGTGACATGGAGGAGATGGTGTGAGGAAGAAATGAAAGCCTGTAGGCAATCATGGAGCTAGGCTAAAAAGACTGCAGAGAAAAGAGTGAGATGGCGATGTTGCTACTGAAGCCCTGTGTCCCACTAAGAACCCAAGGGAAAATAATACTAATAAATAATAACTCACATATCACATTTGTTGGTTGTGTTGTTAATTTTACCTTTTAACTTCATAGTTTATAGGTTGCCTTGTAATTCATGCGATCAGACAGATATCCATTCACAATAACACACTAATAATACTATGTGTACTGTTTCTTTCACTCCACGTTATCTTGTTGGTAAACGCTGTAATAGATTTTTACTACACATCTGTTTCCCATTGGTTATTTAAATGACAACTTGATTGAACCTGTTGCTGCTGTTTAAGCAATTTGCTACCTCAAAAGCAAGATATTCAGAGAAGAGTACTCCTTTTTCTATGAATTTATTTTGAACTAGTAGATTCGTATATATATATATATATATATATATATATATATGTCATACTTAAAAACTGCAATCCGTGAGGCAAATAAGGGATTGAAACGACAATAATGGTGGTTATAATCATAATAATGTTGCTAGTTGATGAGATGAAGGTTGAATGAGAACAAAAAGAGGCTGCGTAAGTGTTACGATGCAGAGTTGTGAGAACGAACAATAATACTTATTATTTTTATTATTAAAACACAAACGTGGTACAGCAAGGGCACTAAGAAATGTTCCACATAAAATAATATAACAACATTATGAAGACATAAAGTGAATGGATTTGAATAAAATAAAACACAATAAGAATAAATTGATTAGAAGGGCAGTTCAGTAACGTACTTTAGAAACAAAACATTCATTACTTCTCAGCAGCAGAAGACAGGTTTCTATTTTGAGCCATTTCTGATAGCGTCTCAAGCTACCGAGTTACGTGATCTCTCGAACCCCATCCAGAGAATCGTGATGAACCAATAGATGCTAACCCAATACAACTATCCTTCATCCCACGGCGCCACTTCATACGCTGACCACCACTATGCTCCTTTCATCCAGTCCTGGGGTTAGCAACCAATGAATGATATGAAAGCCGTTGAGACGAAATGCGTAACACATGTCGAAGCCCCCGAAGCTAGTGTTTTCAGATAACCACTTATTGAATGACCATCTCCATCATGTCCAATCACATGCTGTCATGCCTCAGAATTACTTACATGGTGTTGCCACCGGATACGAGTAATCTTATGAAAACAAAGATGATCGAACACTGAGTCGTCGCATATCCTCAGCTCGGAGGGGACAGGTTTCACAGGTGTGAAGCAGCACTGCTCGAACCGAAGCGTTGTAAACCCGACTTTTTACGGCCAGACTAACGACTCCAAAGGTGGCCCAGATTGACTTATGCCACTCTGGCTTTCGATATGCAATTGAAAATTTCACCACTGACACCTCCACTAGCACTCACACAACTACCGAGATACACGAACGTTTCGACTACTTCTATCGGCTCACCACCAAGAGTGAGCGCAAGCAAAGGCTCCTGCCAATCTTGCAAGAGTACTTTGCACTTTAATGGTGAAAAGTGCATACCATACTTGCGATAATATTTAACGATTGATTGATACTCGAGGGTTGACACGGTTCAACCCGAGTGATTCACAAAGAGAGATCGAAAGACTGGAAGTCAGATAAGTTTACAGCATCTCGGACTGAAAACGGATCCTATTTATAGAGATTACAGTAACATTGAAAGGCAAGGAATGATTATTACATTTGAAGAGGCAGGAGCCAATCAGAACGCTAGCGGTTCATACAAAATATAACCCATGCGTGGGAAAAAGAGCACGAAGAAAAACAGTTCAAATAGATACAAACTCTAGGTATAGAATATAAGGGATATAGGCATCCCTAATAGTAAGATTTTTTAAATCGTTTATAGGCTGGATATAGATTGCAAAGAGGGTGAAAATATTGTCGAGTTAATAAACAACGTAAGATAATATGAATGAGACAAGCTAAGATAAATTGAAAATTGTTTCTTGAAATTTGCAATTATTTGGAAGAGTAAACGAAGTAACACTGGAAACTATTTAATTTAACACTAATAATGGTGATAATAATAACGCTATAAGAGTAAAACCAAAAACTGCACATACTTCTTTTTACACAAAGGTAAGGCTTCAGTTCATGGATAGTCAAGGCCACTGCTGTTTTAAGAAGTTGGAGATGCAAAACATGTGAGCTATTTTGAGCGAATTCAATAAACATCCTTAAAATTATTGTTGTTCGAGTTAGTTGAATGGTTGAAATCGATTAAAATGTTCAAAGATAGAATTTCTAATGGATTTTTTTTCCTTTTATGATTAGTAAAGGTTGAATAAAGTTTAGCTGTGAACAAAAGGTCCTACTGTAATAGGCGTTGCTGATCAGAATGGATATAGGTAGTATATGTTGAGAAAGCGGCAGAAATCATAAATAATTACCAGCAATGGGTAAAGATTCTATCCAGAGTAACGCAAGAGACAATGTGGGTGTAGTAAGAGTAAATCAAGATGGAAACAGAAGAGGAAATGAAGTACATTATGCAAATGACTGTCTTAGTGGAAGGTGTACAAGATGTCAATAGTAAACATTCATTCCTTTCGTCTCTGTTTTGTCATTTTCTACACTACTAATTGATCTTGAAAGATGATATTTCAGGATATCTGATGCTACATCATCTTTGAAATTCCAGATTGTCTCTTTAGAAACTGAAATATATAAAGTGTCTTGTGTACACTGCAATTTCTATTCATGATTGTTTTGTTTTTTTCCAGAGGTTACTTAACATTGTTCATTTTGGCCACACGTAATAATTTGTTTCAATTTTTCTTTAATTACTTTTCTCAACAGGGTAGTGATAAAGCAAAATATCTAGACATTGTAAACAATGTTTTAAAGCAAGTTTTACGAAATCTTCCATCTGATCTTACACTGTATTCATCAACTTCTAATGATACGGTTGTGAACAAGGAGATATTGCGTATTTTTGTTAATTTACGATTACATCAACTTAATCTAATGCTTTTACGACATCATCATGGTGTAACCTTTAAACGAGGGAAGTCACAAACTCCAGCTTGGTCTACAATGATTACACAAACCAGAAATACATTAGATTGGCATTCATCTTATCTAGCTACTCTCAGCTGTAAAGAAGACAAACCATCGCATATTGATATCCAGGATGTCATTTTACATGTTACTTTGTTAAGTCATCTTGTAAATTTACAAACGGTAAATCAAAGTAAGTTATTGTGTGTTCTAAACATGGACTCTACAACCTTAATAAATGTTATTACTACTTACTGATATGCTTGTAATTCTCCGTTGTTTTACTAGATCGAATTATTCGACCTCTATTGCCATATGGGCTAGTATGCAGATGCCTCCATATTGCCTGAATGCTAGTTATGATAATTCACTTGATTGTGGTTAGCAGATTAGCATAATTAATATTCAAACAACATCGAGGCATCCGCATAGTAGGCCATATGCCAATAGGGGTCGAACAATCCGATCCGGTAAACCAACGGAGAATTACAAGCATATTCATAAGTAGTGATAACTAATACCCGTTTCACAAGAGGTGGCTATCGTTCCTCCGTGGCATAGTGAATAACGCCTTGGCATTTGAAGCGATGGGTACGAGGTTCGAGTCTCAGTGGGAACAACATCACTCGCTGGGTTGTAGGCACATCCAGTTGACGAACCCTAAATTGGACGAAACGTGCGTCTGCTGGCCACAACCAAGTACACTAGATAAATGTATTTGGATAGATTTCAGTGAGAGGATTTAGAACTGAAGTAAAAAGAAACGTGAACTGTTGTTACACCTTCTAACCAACCTTCTCCAGTCAGATATCCTGTTAGATAAGCCAAGATACCTGTATGTATGAAAGACATCTGTCTGTTTACATTTCGTTATGCTAGCTGCTAGGCTATATCACAGCTTATTATTTGACATATGTTCACATTTCGTCTGTTACCGCACCTACTTAAGCCAATATCACTCACTATCTTGATTGGTTGGTCACTTAATAGTGGACTGATTCTGTGCGATCAGATTAAGTGTATATTCATATTAATTTGTAAAATGAAATACTTTTTGAACACCTAGATTCCCCAGTCAAGTTGTACTTTATTAGCAGTCTTTCATTTCATAAAACTGTATCGTTTATATGAAGCATATAAATCAAAGGATAGCTTGTTTGTCCCCAGTTCATAAAATGTCATAACCAAAAACGTATTTTACAGCATATTTGAATAAAAGTGGAAAAATGAAGTAATCATTACAATAAGCTTAAATAGACTTCGTAAACTGTCTTACCTAACTATGTAAATGTTTCAGATAGAAATGTTACTTGTGTTGCATGAGTTTCATCATTAGAATTTAACATATTCATTATCAGTTTCATAGGATAAGATTGGTCATTTCGCTGAAAGTATTAACTTTTCATGACTGAAAATTTTTCAAACTACAGACAAACAATAGCAGATACAATAGAGTAGAACTTCCCAGGTAGTTGAAGATTAATTATACTATGAGGTTTGGAATCGATCTCAATGATTCAGATACATCTACACACTTTGACTTCATCCTAATTATCATCTCATCATTATCTTCGATTCCTTTCTTCTTAATAACTCTTTATGTCTTTTAATCACTTTTTTTTGTCCATTTTTCTGTCTTGATGTCCCTTATGTTAGACGTGCCAAATTGTGATCAGTATTGCCAAGTCCCTTGTTGATATCGATTGAGTGACTGACTGACTAAGAACTTTGCAGAAATGAGTGAACACCACAGGCAAAAAAAATCAACAGAAACAGAAATATATTTAAATAAATAAGAATAACATGAATGAAAACTATGATGATATCTATGAATTCGCGAAGAAATAGAAAGATGAATTCATCTATACTGCTACGATCGATTTGAATTATGTCAGCTAGGGACTTCATATATTGATTGGCAACTTGTAGTGGACAATCATCAGATAGTCGGCAGGCCAACAGGTCATAGTTAATATCCTGGTCACGACACTTTTAGCTGTACGCTGAATTAGTCTAACAAGTATCATAACAACAACTGAAACCCGTTACACAATGGGTGATTATCATGCCCCAATGGGTTAGTGGATAACCCTCTGGGTACTCGGTCCGAGCCTCAGTGGGGACAACATCACTCATTGGGGTGAAGGTATATCCGGCTGACGAGTCCAGAACGGGGCGAAACGCACATTCTGGATTCCTCTGCTAGTCACCAAGATCAATATAGTCTTAATACATTGTTGTAAAACAGAGAAATTTGTCACTGAGAGTGCCATAGTACAAAATAGCTATCTTTTACAATGATGAACCTAAGCTTTTCTGTATTTATCCTATTCATTATTTAGGTTGGTTTATATTTATAACATCTTTTTAACACGTGAAGTTATTAATATATTTAAATCCTGGCTCACAGCTTCAAATTTCTTCATTGTTGTCACTTCCAAAAAGTATCCAGCAGACAAACTGCCTTGTAGTTATAAATTTCATTGTGTTAAACTATAGCACTCAAGTCTACTGATCGCTTTGTATGCTTTGAACGTTAAAGTCAGTCTTGATGAAATGTACAACTTTTTCTGACTACTTTACTTGTTTCCGATCAAGAAATAAGTGTCAGCTGATTGAAAGTGATCAACAGGCAGACAGTCTAATCAACTAACATCAATCCAAAGTGCATCGCAGTGATGACTCTTCCAGCTAGATGATCACATTTCAAAATGTCTGATGGAATTGAGTCAGCACTAGACAATACAAAATTGATTAGTTCCCCGTAAAACCCTATGGACTTATTGGTGTAAATTTAGTACCAAGCTGTAGGGCGGAAAGCGCACTTCTCAAACTGGTTAGCAGTCAACAACCATGTGTACTTCCCGTCTGAATGGCTTTGTAGGAACTAGGAAGGATTGTGAGACTGGCCGATGCCAATTCGTAACCTCCGCCGACTGCAGTTCGGATAATATAGACGATAGGTTCCATCAGAAACCGTCAATTTTGCTACAGAAACCAAAACATCCAGATATACTCATAAGAGTGGGGGACTTCAACACTCCAGTGGGAAAGCTGAGCCAGCCGGAAAGACATGTGTAGAATCCCGCACCGAAAAACCGACAGCGGTGGTCCTCTTTCGCAATTTCGCCCCGGCAATTACTTGTTTCTGGCCAACACTAAATTCAAGCACAAGAATAGACACTGTCTCACTTGACGTTCGCCTGTATCAAACCAACGACGAACACAAATAGACTATATTTCTTAAAAACCGACCAATAGCTTTAAACGTCTGCACCCTTCGTCAAATCTCCAACAAGCTTCGCTAGCCAAAACTTGGGCGACAAGTACGTGTTGCTTTTGTAACACACATACAAGACTGAAGTGTAATTATTCATTTAACTTCACCTGGTCAATATGATGAATCCGCAAAATTCACCCTTCAAGTTTTTGGGGATGCGATGGCTAATTCTCCTGGTCTTGCACGTGCTAATAAATAACTTTGAGCCTAAAGGTAGGAAGTGCACTGCTCAACTGCATCCTAGTTGATATTCGCCTGTGCGCTGCTCAACTGAACAGCACACTGAGAACTAAAAAGAATAGTGAGAATCGCCGTCATCTATTTGTAATCTCTGCTCACACACCCACTGACTGTAGTTTGGATGAAGTAAAAGATGAGTTCTATCGAAAACTGCATAGCTTTTTACTCAAAACTGAACGTTCGGAATACCTCGTCGTAGCAGGTGATTTCTCTGCACAAATGGGTAGGCTAAGTCTGGCAAAACGATACTTAGGTGACATTTTTGGAATCCCAGCCGGGCGAACTGATTACGACGATTGCTTGCTACAACAGGTTGTTGCTGCAAAGTATTGTTGGAATATTACCGCTTTTTCTGGAGCTTGTGTCTGAACAGTGACTATGCTTATGTCTGCGCTTGAATGGATGTAGAAAAACTACGACAAAAAGAGCACTCTAACGCAGCTCGACGATAAGAATACCAAGACTGCTTTCTGCCAGAAACTGACTACACAGTTATGGGAACAAAACAACATTCATCCAGAAAAATCCTGATGTCATCTGCAGTTTGTTGTAAAAACAGTGTTAAAGACAGTAGCTGACTCGGAAAGTTGTTAAAAAGAGTCAGCGTATCTCAGTAGCTTTTTCTGAATTAATAGATGCACGCGAACGCATTCCTGCTAGCTCCGAACCACATAGAATGGCAGAAACAACTCAAATATAGACTGACAAGAAGTTTGCGCAGTGACTACGAGCATTGGTGGTTAGCAAAGGCTAAAGAGATTTCTTTTTAAGAGCAGCGGTGGTAAGTATAAACAGCTATTTGAATGTAGCACGTAAACCGGTGTAAAAAGATCAATGGTTAGAGAGACCATAGCAAAGGATGAGTCTGTGATTCACTCGCAGGGGAAATGATAGACGATGGTCAGTGGCCGAGAAAATCTCCATACGGATACAAAAAAACCCTTGACTTTTATCAACTTGCGCCATTTATGGCGCCTTCGCGACATCCGGTTGTCTATTGAGCGTCAAGTGGACTTTGCTGCAATTCGCTGTATTTCACTACATGAGCTTGAAACATGGCCATGGAAGGTGGAAGACACAGGAAAACTTCACGTATTCGACCACCTTTGCCTTTGTAGTATAGTGGGCCTGTCGTGATGCCACCACGTCAGTAACTTTGAAGTTAGGCGTAGATTTTTGGGTAGATGAGGGAAGCCAGTTGGTGATGTTGCGAACCTCCATCGACTAAGGTGGCCAAGACATGTGTTACACGTTTATTCACCGCCTACCCTATCGCACAACATGAGGTGAAATAGGTTCAGGCGAGAAAAAGGTTAGAGGTGACCGTGCTAAAACATGGCATCAGTCTCCAAATGTTGATTTGAGCCCTGTTGGGAAATATGGACTTGCAGGTTGTAGTCCGCGTGGCAACAGAGACTTTGTGTTTAGGATCCTAGGTAATATGGCTCAGAATCGATATCAGTTGCCCAGATGTATTCACATTTTATCTTCATACTGAATTTCCGTATTCTATAGTTTCTCTCTGCTCTCTTCTCATGACCTTGTACTACTTTTGACCACTTTCTTCTTCATCTCGCATCTTAGTGAATTCTCGCTTGGTGCGTTGATACGAAGGTTTGGCAATTCGGATCATTATGCAGCAATGCCAGGTCACATGTTGGTACTATCCTTCAGCAGTTAACCTATTTGCAGTTGATGCACCTTCCTTGTTTTTCTGAAGGATGAGTAAACTATGCTGCAGTTCGTTGTCTTATTGTACGGCTGAGACGTGGCTGCTAAAAAAAAATAGGTGCACAGAGATTACAGATTTGTACCACAGATTCTTTTGTAGCGTTGCTCACTTGTAGTGGAATCATCAGGTGAGCAATGTCGTGGTTAGGCGGAGGAAGGCAAGTCGGTCGATTGGACATGTGTTGCGCATGCTGAGCCACCACCTGTCCTGATATGCTATGTTGACGGAAGTAGACTGGTTGGAAAAAGGCGGAGCATTTTATAGCACCAGTTCGGAAAGTCTGAATGTTGGTCGGAGACGCGTAGGATTGTCCTCAAAATGTATCAGTTGCCAAAAACTCGTCGTTTTGTGGCTCAGAATCAGTCACAGTGTCATGGGTGTATTCAGTATTTGACATCTTCAAAAGCCTGAACACTTTCATTATCTTTATTTGTTTCTTCTTTATCCTCTCATATAATTGTATCTACCTCAACTTCATTCTTCGTCTATCCGGTTGTTCTTTACATGCCACTGTGGAGTGTGTCAACGCGGACTGGTAAGTTTTTTTGCCAGGTTCTAATTTGATTTTTCTGGCCATCATCCTTCTCGTTATTCTACGATGCTCATTCTACGGAATATATTTGGTTCGTTTGCCATTGTATACCGTTTAAAATTCATGTGATAACTAACTGGAAAACAGGAAAATGTTGTCAACGAATCTAAAGTGATTCTTGAACAGTGAAATTTCTGCTCGGAAATAAAAGTGAACCGATTAAATATATATCCGCTTTAAGCGACAAGCCGGTTAAGGGTGGAATTTTAGTTGCAACAAAAAGTGACTTCCTAGTATGAAACTCATAGCAAAGTTGTGAGATATACCGATCCTGATGTATAAAGACAGATTACCATTATGGAGAAGTTGAAACTACTTGTTTATCGGTCAGTTTAAACATGTTCAGTGAAAGGTCATATTGGTATTATTTTAAAATAGAATCTCACTTTTTTTAAATGACTGTTATTGCGACACAGTGTAATTACATAAGCGTACGCAGATGTTTATTTGTTCAAGTGATTTTAGTGAATCGGTGAATATGGACGCTTCCGTCACATGTACTAGCCAACGCTGTTGAATTTGGCAGCGATGTCATAAGTCATTCGAATATGAAGTAGCATCCGTAACTCAATAATCACAAACTCACTAAAAAATCCTTAAGGTCATGGATACACTTCCTAGAGAAATCGATAGTTCGTACAGCCAGCGGTCCTGGAACTACAACGAGAGCCCTATATATATATAGTACATTTGGTTTTCAGTCAATATCTGTAGGTGATGAGAACTATCTTGAGGTGATTCGAACAAGTGGAGCGAATCTCATCCGGAAGCTTGCTTCAGCAAACTTTCAAAAATGCACTAGGCAGAGGAATTTATAACTTGGCATCTACTTTGATGATGTTTATGCCATTTACTTAATTAAACGTTTCTACCTTTTGTTTTTATCTTCAGGTGTACTATCTGTTCTTGGTATTCAAACGATTCTTCAAGATATCTACCGAATTCGTCCTATTCTAACGATACTGACTGACTGTTCAGGCTGTCTCTCTCCAGATACGCACATTGATTTACAGGGTCCGTTAAATTCAATTTCTCACAATTTAGGCCAGTTATGTGATACATTGGTGAGGAAATCGCAATGTAAACGTGAAAACAAATCCGAACGGAAATCAGTCATCATTCAGAATCGTAAGAAGAATAAACAAAAACACAAAAAGCCACAACAAGAAGCAACAGATACCACGAGTCGTGATGAGGGTTCTCCAGAGTCCCTATTGTTATCACACATCAAATATGTGGATAACTCTTCCACATTAGAATCAGATGACAAAGAAACACGGGATCAACATCATGTCCCCATCAGCAACTGTCAAGCGATGAGACTCAAGATTGAACATCTAGCCGAGTATCTCAGTGGATTATAAGATTTATTTTCATATCAACACCTGCACTTTCACCATTCTTGTTTATGTAAATACACCCTTTTTGAGGATTCTCACGTGAGATTTATTCCCTTAATTTCACACAATTATATGATGAATCGAACAAAAATTATTTTTGTCGCGTTATTGCGTTCATAAAGGGGGGAGGGAGAAACGCACGTATTTTTGGACACAAATTACTTCCTTGTTCATGGGTTCAATATTTCAGAAGTAGGCGAACGGTAAAATACTGGATCATCACAATGTCGGGATTATTTACGTCGACATACTGTTAGCAACTCGTTTTTCAGATACTTTCATACTGTACAATACCATGAATTCGACACAGTTATAATATAGAAGACGTTAAGATAGAAACCCGTACTGAACTTTTCTTTAGGTTTTATGCGATAAGAAGGATAGTGTGGTTGTGCTTCATGAAGAACTTTGAGTTGAAGACTAGAGGAAAATGCGAATGGTAATTATCTCTTGACCGACTTGACAATATTTCAAGTGCTGGGTCTTGTTGAAGTATATTTGATGGAACGATGTACACCTCACAAGCCAAAAGCATAGACAATAATCTGTCTCGCCTGTCTAGAGAGACTCAGCAGCAGAGTCGGTGTGCAGTCAGTGTAAAGTTCTTACTTATATCTGCGCATGTCGCTTAGCTGGCCATAAAATAATCAGTGTCTCACATTTGAGTTCTCGGGTCTATGCAGTTGAATATGAAGAAAAATTAATGAACGCCTGCAGTTTGTATCCGCACCTTGTCTTTTGATCTAATTTCATCTTTAGAACAATAGCTTAATTTCATATCTTGGTGCGAAGGACTGTGCTAAGCGATACTGGATTTCGATGGACCCAGACTTTTACTTACCCTACACATTGTTTTGTTTATGTTACGTGTTCCAATAAGGAAATGAAAGACGATAATCAAACTACCCCTACAGATAGTAGCGTGCAGATGACTGTGTTGAAGTCAAGATAATGGTGTAACAATCAAAAACTGGATGCAAAATCTGTCTATCGATGAACGGTTAGTGCGTAACTAATTTCTCATGGTTACTGATGAAAAATAGTATGTATGCAAAAAGCCCGTCTGGTATTTGCCAACTAGTGTCATTTACTGTCGACGGTAACGAATTGAAACCTACTCAGCAACCATCTACACGTTGCTCCAGACAGAAAAAATCAACGTAGAACCTCGCACACAGGTACATCGACTCACGTTGCTACACTTCACAGTAGTACATAAAGAACAGGTGGATAAAAAAGGAGTGATATCCAAGTTGTGTGAAATGGCAAACAATTTGAAGACAAAGGTTAGTGCAAATATTCAAGCTTTAGATGTTAAAGAGTTGATTCATCTGCACCATTACGACCGATTTTCAGTCACGTCACTGATTCCTATCGTCTCGGGGATCCCTAGCATGGCATGTCTGGGTAGGCGGTGGCTCGGTCGACTAAAATTTACAACCCCATCAATTGACTTGCCTTTCTTGCTTAGTATCCTACGCTTGATGTTAACACTGCTCACATGTTGCTTCCACCAAACGCTACAAAGACATAGAAAATTCCTAAAGAGACGTAGGCACTAGGCAGTGTATGGCAATCAGCAGTAATCCCGGTAGACTGGTGTACTTCACCGACTATCTCAGTGTATAAGAAGAGAGGTCTTCTTGTAACAACCATATGGGAATTAGTTTGACTAATATTGTGTCCAAGATCCCAAGGGTAAATAGTTATCTGACGCCTGACTGGAGAACAACAAACTGAATAAAACCCGGCAAATTTTAGATCTGAACGAGGGTACGCTGATCATATTTTTAGCCTCCGACAAGTTCTGACACCTCCCAACCAATGGCTGACACTAGCAATATTTCTTGAGCTGAAGGTGACATTAACTTTGTCGGCTACGAAGTGTTGTGGCAGTGTCTCAATATGAGAGAAGTACCAAGCAAGTACATAACGCTAACAAAGGTTGTCTATTTGAACTCACGCAGCCGTGTCAGGGCTTATGGAGCGTTGTCATCAAAGTTGACGACAACTAGTGGTGTCCACCAAGAATGCCCACTGTCACCGTTCCTACTTAACTTTGTCATAGACGTACTAATGGACATAAGCTTAGGTACGTCTAACTTCACAGGGAGTCATATACTCCCTGGAGGTTATTTGGTCGACTTGGAGTATGCAGACGATATAGCCCTGCTACGTGATGGCGTTGACAAAATGCAGGGTCTACTGAACGCGTTGAGCAGAAATCTGAGTGTTTGGCAGACGTTTCGCACCTGTCAAATGTAAGACGCTGCTACAGGACTGGTCAGTAACTGTTCCCAGTTTAATGATAGTGAATGAAATGGTGTAATATGTCGACCACTTCACTTACTTGGGGAGTCGCATCAGCCCGAATGGCCTGGTAGCTGATGAAATCTTGACTCAGATACAAAGGGCCAGTTGGCATTTGCCAATTTGTGTCATCTATGGAGCCAACTGGTGAGATATCCAACTATTTATGAAAAGACGGGTATGCTGTGCTGCAGACCGTTCCGTCATGTCATATGATTATGAGACATGGTTATTCCGAGTAGAAAACATGAAGCTGTTACAGGTTTTTGATCATAGGTGTCTTCGGAGCATTGCTCGTTTAGTGGAATCACTATGTGAGCGATGTTGAGGTCAGGTGAAGGACGCAAGTCGATTGTTGAGGTTGTAAACCTTATTCAACTGAGGTGGCTTAGATGCATACTGTGCATGCCGAGCCACCGTCTACCTCGACGTCCCATGTTAGGAGAAGTTGGATTAACGTTCCCCAAGACGGTGGGAATCAGTGGTTAGGGACTCTTGGTGACATGACTGAAAATCGGTCGGATGAATTAACTTTCTAACATCTAAAGCTTGAATATTTGCACTAACCTTTATCTTCAAACTGCTTACTATCTCACACAACTTTGTCTACTTTGATATTACTTTTTTATCCATATGTTCTTTTATGCACTACTGAGAAGTGTAGCAACGTGAGTCGATGTACCTGTGTGCGACGTTCTAGGTTGATGCTGTCAACTAGTCTTCCGCACAGCAGTGAAATACGGTCACTGAATATGGATATGTGAAGGGTCCAAGCAATTGAATACCACTGCCTTCGTGGTATCGCTTACGCACGGTGAAGCTATCATGTAGAGGCTAAGCATGGGATATTAAACAGAGGCAAGGTAAGTGAAGCTATAAGCCTTACTCGATTTGCGTGATTAAGACAAGTATAACGACCCACTGTTTACGCTAAGTCCCATCTTTAGCTGATGTTTGAATGGGCTGGTAAGAGTCCAACGGTGGCCAGACTAAAACTTGGCATCAGTCTGTGAAATTTCTCATTGTTGATTTGAAAAGAAACAACAGCCGCCTCCTGATTGTGCTCCGCAAGACAACCAAAATCGGTAATTCGCGAATCTAATTTACGCGGCACAGAATCGATCACAGTGGTGCAGATGCATTCACATCTTATCTTCACCTAAACTGGAGTACGACTTATCTCTGCACCTTATACTTTATGGAGTTTGTGGGACTATAAATAATATTACTTTCATATCTTTGCCATTTTTCTTACTGACTTCTACCTAAGTATAGCGATGCAGAGTATGGAAACTTTGGTTGGTACGCTGTTATACCGAGACTTGTGTAGTTGATACCTTAGTTAGTTTTCGAAACCAATCTCACTTCTTTTCTGTATATTGATACGAATGAAGAAACATTTGGCCTATAGCTTGTAACAGAAACATGTCTGGCTAAGAAATACCCATGCAGTAATGAGTGGTAGCATAATGTATATTTCGGTTGAGCGATTACGAAACATCTATCCAATGATAATAATAATTACCTGCATGTAACTGATTACGGTAATTTCCTTTAGAAAACTATAACTGATCTTTCAGCTAAAATACTTCATTTAAAATATACATCGTCTTATGTGTATGTAGGTTAGTTTGTTCACAAAACATAAAACACTATTCAACACACTGAGTTTAGTGAATGAAGAATAAGTCAATCTATAATGAACAAACAAATGGATGTATGCATATGGAGAAAAAAAAGTAAAATATGATTTACAAAGGTTGAAGGGAATACGGGAAAATTCTCCTTATATGTGTATGTCCAAATACAATGATAAAGCAGCTACACTTTTTCTTTGCCAACATGAATCCATAGGAGAGTTTGTGCCAAGATTAAATGATTTAAAAATAAGTATCATTTGATTTATTTTTCTTCACACCATTCGTTTTCTTTCTTTACCTAGTTTAGGATTTTTAAAAGAAGCATGATGCAACACTTTACGTATGAATGAAAAAATTGTTGACACAACAACCTCAATAAATTTAGGCCCTGTAAGAGGTGGGCCATACACAGGTTGAAACAAATTAATTTAATTTCTCGATTAACGAAGAACACGGTTTACGAAAATAAAAAAACTGAAATTTGAAAGACATTTAAATACGTTAAATGATATCTGCAGCTCAACTGTTTAGGAAATTGACTTCTAAACTAATCAATCATATAGCCTAACTACTACGATTAGAGCAGCTGCATAATTTTAGACATCACCCAGTAAGTAATAGCAAAAATATCATATAAACTTATAGAATATAGAATTATACTCTACTACCTGCCTATTATCATCGATAATCTTCCTGATCATGGTCGACTGGACTGGATCACGCAACAGACAACTGTGAGGAGTGAGAAGAGGAGCATACGCTGACTGGACCTATGAAAAGACCCTAGAAGATTTGGAGTTCGCCGATGATGATTTATGTCTAATGTCTTGTAGCAGAAATTTGAAGATCTACAGACAAAAACCAACAAGTTGATAGAAGAGGGAGTGAGGACGGGATTTCAAGTGAACGTAGAGAAGACAGAGGTGATAAAGATACCCAACCAACAACAACAACAAGCACCAATGACCATCAACGGCAGAAACCTAAAGGAAGTAGTTCTCTTTCACCTACCTAGACACCATCGTTCCAACTACAGGGGGCGGCATAGGTGAGCATGTCAAAGCCAGGATCGGAAAAGCAAGAAAGGCCTTCATTTACTTGGAATCAGCTTGGAGATCAACTGCACTGCACTCAGCATACAGCGTGAACAAGATCCGGATTTTCAACACTGATTCAGTCAAGTTAGTGCTTCCATGTGATGGTTGACAGACTTGGCGGCGCGTTATGAAAAGCATTTCCAACAAACTGCAGACATACATCAGCAACGGCTGCCGCCTACGCTCACTCAGTACTGAAGATCAGATGGCCAGAACGGATAAGTAACAGGAAACTCTGGCCGGTGACGAACCAACCAAGAACCCATCGCCCAACAAATATCCAGAAGAAAGTAGAGATGGATTGGATTGGCCACACACTGAGAACACCATTTGGAAACATCACGCACTAGGCCAGGCCGTCGAGTGGAACCCGTGCGGAAAACGACGAGTTGGGCGTCCGAGAGTGATATGGAGATCGTGTGAGAAATAAATGAAAGCTTGTGGGCAGTCATGGAGCCAGGTTAAAAAGACTGCAGAGAAAAGAGTGAGATGGCGACGTGTTACTGAAGCCCTATCTTCCATTAGGAACCCAAGGGACAAATTATCAATAATAATAATAAAACGACCGACCTTCTTTTCTTATACTAATTCCATTTGTATTTCACTAGTCTAGAATTTTTTGTACCAACCCCTGGGCCACACCTTTGAACAATACCCCAACTTACGTGACTTGATAACTGGGTATTATTATTATGAACCCTAGTGCATCACATACAATTCATAGTACAGTAGATACACACGCATGAGATAGGTGAGTTGCACTACGTAACAAAGGTCAAACTTACCTATCCTAAACGTATTTGAGGAACCTTGGACCTATCCTATAGAAGCTGTAGTAAGAAAACTGAGAAATTAAACTGTTGCATTAGGGTATATTTGTGTTACCTACATCACAGTAAGATATGTTAAGGGGTGATTGAGAATATCAACTGTTCTGTCTAGTCTATAAGTATATTTATACTTTTGTTTTACTGAACCTTTTCACTGGGATGTGTAAAAAAGTTGTAAGATTATGCGGTCAGCTAGACCTTCTTGCTTTAACTATGATATAGCGTCATTAAAAGCTGGAGATATGAGGAAATTGGGTTTCTACTATCACTCCTATCCACTCTTACTTGTTGTAGCTGGGAGACACTAGCAAATCAATAATATCGAGGTAATCTGTAGTGGATTCTACGTGACGGTTCACTACTGCTGAACTTTGTAGTTTACAAATTAGATCTCACGATGATGTTTCATTTACGGATGGTGAAAACAGTTCAGTCACTTAATGTTAGATGATTTAATTCCTAAAACTGAAGACAACAAAAGTGCTTGTACCACAAAAATTTCCTCTCCTGAAATAATTGACTTCTGTTAATATTTGTCAGACTAAAAGAAAAACTATTCAAGTTCCAGCCGTAGCCATGTGAAAGGCTGTCAGCAACTTAAACTTGATAATAAAAAGCCATTTATTTATTAGCTTAAGCCATTTGAACATCCTGGATGATTTGTGGCCGAATACTTACCTGTTCTTCTTCCTGGGGTGTAAAGTCACATTTAATGTTGAAAGTTTTTCGTATTTCTTCTGGTGTCTTTCCTTTGATCATATTGGCAACTGTCTTGCAGCAAACATCCAGCAGTCCCCTGATATCTAGATAATTAGCGGCTAACATCAGTTCAAACAATGTCCCTTGATCGACACGAAGAAACTCTTGATCCCAACTAGGAATATCGTCTGTACGGCGTTCCTTATTTTCGTCATCTTCCTGGGGTGGTGGATCGTCTTTGTGATAAGTGCACCATTGAATAACTTTTCGCAAAATCCCAGCATTAACATTAGGTAGAGGCACAGGTTCTTCATCCCCTTGATCTTCCAATCCTAAGTCTAATACGGACAATGAAATTTACGATTAAAAAAGTATACACAAGGTTTACAAGGCAGACTTATACAGATTCTGAATGATTTGACTGTAAATAATTAATCATTTCAACGATTACATGCAAAGAAGTACCAAATACACAATCATTACCCTGCAAATTTATATGCGTGCCATTAAAGACTTAACGAGAAGTCTCAAATACGCTGAGATTTCATCTAAAGTAGTTTACTACTAAGGTCTTTATGAAGCTGAATTTCAGGTAAGCGTAGCGCAGAACAGTATGGGACTGTAACGAAGTTTTTTGAAAACCCTGAACCATAACCAAGCTGTTACCTTGATAAAATGCTCCAGTCTGTCTGGTCACCTGACAAAAGTAAACGGATAGATGAGATGCTTACTTTCCAAGGCCTAGCAAAGCTGGTTAAAGAGTCAGTTCCAAAACCAACCATTAAAAATACTACAAATAGCTTATATTCTCATGCACAGAATACCTAAGTGAAGCCTATGAGATATTATGGATCAGTAGTTGAAGAAATTAAGTAGTACTTGTCAAAATTAATCCTGATAGCATATGTGTATTCATTAAACATTAGAATATCTTATAACTTCATTTATTTGCTTGTTTCAATGATTGTCGATTTTCGCCTTGTGTGACGCTGTTAATAGCCACAATTTGAGCTAGTGCATTTTTATGCGAGGCCATACGTTGTTATTGCTACTTGATCATTTGAAGAAGTCTTTCTGTTGGTTAGACAAAGACATAACGGGAATAAAATGTCTCTTTGGGCGAACGGCATTACCAGCTAACGATTCGATCCAACATAATGGAGAATAACAAGTATGTCAATAAGTAGTAATAACTACTACCCGTTGCACAAGAAGTGGCTATCGTTCCTCCATGGCATAGTGGATAGCGCCTTAGCGTTTGAAGCGATGGTATGAGGTTTGAGTCTCAGTGGGAACAACACTCACTGGAGTGCGGACGAATCCAGCTGACGAATCCCAAATAGGAGGAAACGCACGTTCTTGATTCTTCTGCTAGCCATAATCAACCAAATTATCATAAAATACCTTCCTCCTATAAAAAGAGGAGTCTAAGAAAGGTCAACCCAAAACCCTATTCTGCTTCATTATATCCATTTATATCTCTAGAGAAGGCTTTTCTAAAAAGGAATGGAATTTTATGTCAACGTCTATAAAAAGTTTACGCGACCGACTCCAAGTAAATTCGCAAAACACAAATCTTTCGTTTTCTCTGAAGATATGAGGGACCTTGTACAATGGGAAACTAGGATATTCCCCTACAAAATCAGAGTGGGAGTGTATTGAAGAAAGCAGAGAGAGATCAGATAAAATAATGACAATGGTTCCCGACCGATAGCTGCTACCTTGACGTGGTGGTCGGGCTTGCATATCACAATGACCCAACGAGCTATGCTGGTGGAACGCTTGTTCCCTCGAGGTCCTACCATACCAGAAAGGTCTGTTGGGTAGTGGTTAGACGAAAAGCAGTTACCGTTATAGTGTAAATTGCTACACTATGATGGGGGTCTGAGGGCGAAGTCGTACTGCTGCTAGCTGGATGGGGTGTGACAGCAGTAAGGTGTTTCCCTTGGATGACCAGCAGTGCCAAGCTGATGCTGCCTTCTCAGTGGAAGGGGGGGTTAGAAAAGGTCGGCCCCAAAAATAACACACTCCACCACGCCCCACGGTCTGCCGGGCCGGCGGTGTTGGTTCACTTGTCGTTTCCTTTCGCTCATCCGGCCCCAAAAATACAAAAATTCAAAATAATCATACTCAAAAGGCTGGGTGTGACAGGCCTCAAGCAGATGTCCGATGGGCTCTGCGGTCACACAAATCTCTTTCAGGTACCTTAAGAAGAAATAGCCTTCCACGGTGTGGGCAGCCGGGAAGTGTCAACCGCCCTCACAACTCTGTCAGCACCCAAGTTTCTTCTGACTGCTATCCTCCTCCTCCATCATTACCTTCTAATCTTCCTTCACGTCTCTTAATTAATGATGCTGCATCATCTTCAATTTCTCCTACCTCTGCAGCCTTCGACAACGATCTGAGTCCACAGAACAGCGTCCCTGGTCTCCTTAAACCACGCTCCAAATTACATATTGGAGCCTTCAATGTCCGCACCCTCCGTCAAATTGGCCAACAGGCTTCGTTGGCAAAGACTCTAGCAACTCGGGCATGGATGTGTGCTGTGTTTGTGAGACACGCATACAGGACCCAAGTGTGGTTATTCACCTGACCTCTCCTGACCAATCTGGTGAATCTGCAAAATTCACCCTTCGAGTTTCTGGAGATTCGATAGCTAGCTCTCGTGGTCTTGCAGGTGTAGGTATAGCATTAAGCACCAGGGCAGAAAACTCACTACTAGACTGGATCCCAGTTGATAGTCGCCTCTGCGCTATGAGGCTGAACGGCACAGTGAGAACTAAAAGGAATAGTGAGACTCGCCGTTGTCTCTTTGTAATCTCTGCTTACGCACCCACTGACTGTAGTTCGGATGAAGTGAAGGACGAGTTCTACCATAAACTGTCTAACCTCCTCTCGAAAGCCAAACGTTCGGACGTAGTGGTTGTTGCAGGTGACCTCAACGCACAGGTGGGTAGACTGAGTGAGGCAGAAAGGCACTTAGGTGGCACTTTCGGAATCCCAGCTGAACGTACAGATAACGGTGATCGCCTATTACAACTATGCTCAGATAACCGCCTATTTTTAGCCAGCACAAATTTCAGACATAAAGAAAGGCACTGTCTGACCTGGCGTCCACCGAGCTCGACTCAGCGATGGACACAGATAGACCACATTGCTATTAGTCATCGCTGGAGAGGATCGGTGGAAGACTGCCGCTCCTTCTGGAGTACGTGTTTGGACAGCGATCATGCGTTGGTCCGAGCACGTATATGCCTGCGTCTCAATGGACGTAGAAAAAATTTGGCAACAAAACCACTACGAGTTCTGCTGGACAACGAAAACACCAAAGCCGTGTTCAGTGAGAAGTTGGCTAGGCAGTTATCGGAACAAAAGACTGTCACTCATCCAGAAGAAGCTTGGTGCCATCTTCAGTCTACTGTAAAAGCAGCACTGGAGACTGTAGCCGACTCCAAGATAATGGCTAAAAAGAGCCAGTGGATATCAGCAGCTTCTTCCAAACTAATGGATGCACGTGAATGCATCCCTGCAGGCTCTGAGTACAATGAAGAGCGAGCGCAACTTAAAAATAAACTGACGAAAAGTCTGCGCAACGATCGTGAACAGTGGTGGGCAGCAAAGGCTAAAGAGATGGAAAAGGCAGCGGCGATCGGTAACAGTAGACAGTTATTTAGACTTATTAAGGAGACTGGGGGGAAATGGTCAACAACAGTTAGTGAGGTTATAGCGGAGAAGGACGGATCGGCGATTCACTCGCAGGGAAGGCGACTGGGACGATGGGCAGAACACTTTGAGGAACAGTTTAACTGGCCTCCAGCCACCATTGCGCTGCCCGCTATCCAGTCGGACCCTGAATGGGACATAGAGACAGGTCCCCCAACACTAGAAGAAGTTGAGAAAGCGGTAGGTAGCCTGAAACGGGGAAGGGCAGCAGGACCAGACGGACTACCTGCTGAGGTATACAAGAATGGTGGTAGAGTTCTCTTAGTCAGGCTAACGGAAGTGTTAGCCAGTATATGGGAATCAAATACGATCCCCTCCGACTGGTCTAAGTCACTGATCATCCCAGTCTTCAAGAAAGGCGAGAAGTCCTCTTGTGATAACCACAGAGGAATCAGCCTGACAAACATAGTGTCTAAGATCCTAAGTTCTATAATTCTCCGACGCCTGAGTGGAGCTCGGGAACAGCAAGCCCGAGAAAACCAGGCAGGCTTTAGACCTGGCCGTGGATGTATCGACCAAATATTCACACTGCGCCAGGTCCTGGAACATAGGCATGCTTACAGACGCCCGACAATAGCTGTATTTCTCGACCTGAAGGCGGCATTTGACTCCGTTGATCGAGAAGTCTTATGGCAGTGTCTGTCACTGAAAGGCGTGCCTAGTAAGTACATCACCTTATTGAAAGCTCTCTACTCGAACACTTGTGGGCATGTTAGAGCCTATGGTGAGTTGTCCAGGGAGCTATACTCATCAAGTGGTGTCCGTCAAGGATGCCCACTATCCCCATTCTTATTTAATTTTATCATAGATATTCTTATGGAGGTTTCCCTCTCGTCACCTAATTACAAAGACGTTGACCGGATCACAGGTGAATTTTCCTTAGATCTAGAATATGCAGATGACATAGTCCTGTTAGGTGAAGACGCTGACAAGATGCAGAGTCTTCTGAACACTTTGAGTGGGAATTTGAGAATGTTTGGGATGCGATTTTCACCACCCAAATGCAAATTTTTGCTCCAGGACTGGACTGGTTGAGTGTGTTGACCACTTCACTTACCTGGGAAGTAGGATCAACTCCGGTGGGTTAGTTGCCGATGAGATTTCTGCACGGATACAAAAGGCTCGATTGGCTTTTGCCAATTTGCGCCACCTTGATATTCGTTTGTCTATTAAGGGTCGCGTGTACTGCACAGCAGTCCGCTCTGTTCTACTGTATGGCTGTGAAACATGGCCATTGAAAGTGGAAGACACAAGAAGGTTACAGGTATTTGACCACCGTTGCCTTCGTAGTATAGGACGTATTCCGTGGTGTCACCATGTGAGTAATGCAGAAGTTAGGTGTAGAGTTTTAGGGAGAAGAGGTAAGTCAGTCGACGAGGTTGTGAACCTTCATCGACTGAGATGGTTGGGACACGTACTACGTATGCCTAGTCACCGATTGCCTCGTCACACAATGTTGGCTGAGGTGGGTTCAGGCTGGAAAAAGGCCCGAGGTGGCCAGACTAAAACATGGCACCAATGTATGAAGTCTCTGACTGTTGGTTTAAGCCATGTAGGACGATGCAGACTAGGTGGTTGGGGTCCACGGGACAAGAGGAACCAGTGGTTGGAGACC